CCCCTTCCAACCTCTTCCTCTCCACCCATCCCCTCCCCTCTCCTCCCCACCCCACCCCTCCTCCAGCTCTTAAGTTTGCTCTTCAAACTTGCAGGACACCATTCTGAGCCGGCCAAGAAAACAAGAGGGGGGAAGGGAACAGGTTAAGGAAAACAAGAGTCACAATCAGACCGCAGAAAAGCTGGGGGAAAAAAGAGCTCCACGGGGAAAAGGAATGCGGCTGTCCAGATAAAGAATGTTTGCCATCCGGCCCTGGCCTTATAGAAAATTATAACTCACCTGGTTGCCTTTCACTCCCGGCTCCCCGCCCCTCCAGTCGCTATCAGCGTCCCACCTACCTCTCTACCTTTAGCTTAAGTCTCGCCCCAGACAGGCACAGGGCAGGAGCCAGGGCACAGAGATAAGGCAAGGCTTTTAATTCTTTGAGAAGTAGACAGTGTGTTTTTCTTTTTGCAGCACAGTTGCGCCCCGGGCCTCTCTGCGGCCTCCAGATGAGGGGTTTGTCCAGGGAGTGGGGCGGAGCCTCGCACAGGTGCTGGGCGATGGGGCCAAACAGGAGGGGGCAGGGCTGGAGGGCACCCTGGCGCAGGGTGCGGGCCCGCAGCCATCGTCCGGAAACGCACAGTTGACTTGTTGACGAGAAATTTCATCTGCTTCTCAGCCATGATCGGGCCTCTGCTGTTTCAGATGCAGAGAAAGTCCCCAGGTCGTCTCTGAGGGAACTGACATCCCACAGATGCCAGGACCCCTCCTACCCAAGTGCCCTCACCCCGGTCCAGGCCTTGTCTCCTTCCTTCTCTGCACAGTCTGCATCTTGGGGGGCTGGGCTGAACAGCCCACAGGGGCAGGGGTGGCACAGGGTAGAGAGACATACGATGGCCCGCGGTGGGAGTGGCTGGCAGGCCTGGACGCTAACGTCCCCTGGGGTGCCCCCTTCTCCCCACAGAGGTGCAAGGACAAGCTGAACGCCTTAGCCATCTCCGTGATGAACCAGTGGCCGGGCGTGAAGCTGCGGGTGACTGAGGGCTGGGATGAGGACGGCCACCACTCGGAGGAGTCGCTGCACTACGAGGGCCGCGCAGTGGACATCACCACCTCGGACCGCGACCGCAGCAAGTACGGCATGCTGGCGCGCCTGGCCGTGGAGGCCGGCTTCGACTGGGTCTACTACGAGTCCAAGGCGCACATCCACTGCTCGGTGAAAGCAGGTGAGGGGCCGGCCCGCCCCTGCCGGCAGCACGCCCCCCTCTCGCCCATCTCCAGCTTGGCACCCCACAGGCTGACTCCAGGGCCAGAGGAAGATGGGTGGGGGGCGGGCAGGGAGGGCCCTGGGGGCTGACTGCTGTTTGTGGGGGGCGGCCCTTCGCCATGTCCACCTTGGGGGCTGCAGAGGCGCACGTCCTCGGAGTCCAGGTGCAGAGGGCATCTGGCTACCCTGGCCGCCCTGCAGCCCGGCTTCCGGAGTCCTCAGTGCAGGTGGCAGGAGACGGGGAGAAAAGATTGGGGGTGGTGGGGCGGGGTAGGGGCAGCTTTCCTGGTGAAAGAGGCAGCCCAGCCCAGAGAGCCAGCTCTGGCCCGGAGCCTTTGTCTCGGGAGGGCTTAAGAAGGAACCACTCCCCACTCCGCCCCCACCTCCCTGCGCGGGAGGGGCCGCCCCGGGTGGAAACCCCGTCCCCTCCCCGCCCCGCTGGAGCCTAGGCTAACTGGGCTCACCCGGCCTGGGAGACGAGGACCGGCGGCCGGTCACAAATCCAGTAGTTACGGCTTCCAACATCTGGAGGGCGCCAGCCCGGAGCGCCAGTCCTCCCTGGGAACCAGCCAGGCCGCCCTGCGCCGCGAGGCCGCTTCCCTGGGCCTGCAACGCCACTCGCTGTTGCGGGCGAGGAACAGCTCCGGAGGCAGGCGCGCGCGCGGGCGCAGGCCCCGACTCGGCCGGGCGGTCCTGCCACCTCCCTGCAGAAGCAGAGCAGTCCACAGGGGGTGTCGGAGGAGCTCCGTCTCCCCCGCCCCTGGGTTTGCGTTTGTCCCCTAACCTGTGTTTTACTAGCACGTTAGGAGGAAAAATAGTTGGGAAGTGTCGACACACTTTGGAGGACAGAAAAATGATGGCTTCTTGGCACACACGGTGTGGACGGGTGGGCAGAAGGTCCGGGTTTATAGCCCGAGAAAGGGTCTCAGCCGCTGGAGGGCGCCAAGGCGCGCCCCCCATCCCCGCCCCTGCGCGGGGCTCCCAAACGGAGGCGCGGCGCGCGGCCCCCCTCCCGGCCACCCGGTTCCGCGGGGTCCCCCCTGGCGGGGCTCCCCCCTGGCGGGGCTGGGGTAGGTGGGGGGTGGTCCCTCGAGGTCTCCGCGCAAATGAGCAGCGGTCGTCCGACCCGGGACTCTGGCGGGGGCGCGGGGCCGGGCGCGCAGCAGAGCCGCTCATTGGCATTCCGCGCACGCGGGCCGGGCGCGGGGCGGTGCGTGTCAGGCAGGGTCGTGCGACTCGACGACTCGGGCTCGCCTGAGTCCCGGGCGCATTGCGGGCGGCTGCGGCGGGCCTCCAAAGGCCGTTCCCTGCACTTCATGCCCGAGAAAACGATGAGAAGATTAAATACCCTCAGTAATTCCAGCAGGAAGATTCTTTCTGGCGATCTCTATTTGCCAAAAGCCTGATCCCAGAGATTGGAATGCAAAGAAGACGGGGGGCCGTCCCGCCCCTCCTCCCCGGCCCCCCGCGCGCCGCCCGGCTCCCCGGGATTATTGTCCCGGGGACAGTGAGCCTCAGAGAGCGACGGAGGCCGGAGAAAGCCGGTAGTCAAGGGGCCTTGAGAACCCGGGGCTTCCCGAGCGCGGAGCAGGCCCCGCCATTTAAAATTCAAATACACATCTTGAGTGCTTGCAAGAGAGGCCTGGCTGTGCAAACAGTGCTTGTGAGGCCCGGGCCTCTGCAGGGCCCGCGTGTGAATCGCCGGGGGGCGGGGGAGGGGCGCTGCACCTGAGCAAACAGGGAGGGGGCGGCCCGCGCTGAGAAAGTGGGGGGGCGGGGGAGGGATGGAAGGGTCCCCTCTTCCAAGAGCGCCTCCCGTTTGGTGCAGAAATCACAATGACAATGGCGAGCCCTTTATTGGATTTTAATTAGAAAACCCACACAGCCCCGGTTTCACACCTCGGCCCAAGCTCTGGGATGTTTGTGCAGTCGCTTCAACTACTGCAGCGATTTTTCACCACACTCCCCCCCCCCCAAC